AAAACCCCCCTGTTTTACTCCTCTAGGCAAGGTCTCCTCAAGTTGGGAGAAAGAAAGTTGTGGGACCTCAACCCCACGAAACCCCCCGCCGGGCCATGTGGGGGGGGGAATTCTCAGATGTAGTCCATACATCTTCAAGTCGCCAAGGTTGAGGAACCCTGCTCTATGGGACAAGAGGCTTTCAAGATTCTGTTATTATACTCTATAACAATAAAATACCAGTACAGGTAGTCCTCGGTTAACAACCATTTGTTGAACGACCATTCGAAGTTATGGCAGCACTGAATGAGTGGTAGTTACCAGTCTTCGAAGTTCCGGCTGTCCCAGCACCCCCACGGTCACATGATCGCAATCTGGGTGCTTAACATAGTTGCAGCATCCCATGGTCACATGATCGCCATTCGCGACCTTCCCTGCTGGCTTCCTACAAGCAAAGTCAATGGGAAGCCAACAGGATAGGTTGCAAGTCACTCTGGTAGGTCTCCCTTACCCGTCAGCAGCCACCCCAACCCTCATTGCATTCATGCCATGCCAGCACCTTGCGTACCCTCCCCCACCCTGCAGCAGCCACACCAAGCCTCGCACTTGTGCTGCACTGCACCAGCCCCTCATGCACACTCACACACCCTCTCTCACCCAGCAGCAGCCACTCCAAACCCTTGATGCGCTTGCACCATGCCACGCCACCCCCTCGTACACCCTCCTCCACCTGGCAGCAGCCACTTACCTACCTACCGGCTTCCTTGCAAACCGCCTGGGACTTGCAACTTCCTGCTGGTTTCCCGACTGATTTGGTTGTTGGAAGCCAGCAAGAACTTGCGAGAAGGTCCTTGCTTAACGACCTGTGAACCTCACTTAACGACGACAACAGGGTCTGCCAGGATTACTATCGCTAAGCAATAGGGTCACATGACGGCATGCTTTATGACATCATTTAGTGATGGAAATTCCAGTGCCAATTACATCAACCTGTAGTCCTTGTAGTGTCTGTCTCCTGACTTGGCCTTCCTTTGAAGGATGCTTCTACAAGTAGGCAAATTTGCTGAGGCGTTGCCGCTGGGTGCCAATTTCACTAATATGTTCTTACTGGCTGTGGAAGACAAAAGGAGCATAAATAGGGAAGAGTTCTCATTAGAATAAAGGGCTAGGGGGAATGACACAAACTTTCCCATTCACAGGCCACTTTCTCCTTCAGAATCAAAAGGAAGTCAGGTGTGAGGCAAGGAATCCTTGACTGCAAACCTTAGCCATGTTTGGGCAGTTGAAACCACAGGCAATGAGGGGCATGAGGGAACGTGCTCATTCCCCCTCACCATTCAGTCATCTGTCGCCCTT